GGGTGGAGGGTGGGGAGGGGGGGGCGGGCGGCAGGGGAGAGAGGTCCGTGGGAAAAGGACAGAGCTGTGACCTTTGCCCTCAGATGAGGGCGGGGCTTTCAGGTAACCCACAGCCCTCTCTCAGCTTCCTCCAAGAGGAAAGACCAGAGAGAGAGGCTGGCCCAAAGCCACGCAGCATGTCCGGGGCAGAGCCAGAGGAAGAATTAGGGAGCACACCCAAGAACGGGCTGCCCAGATGCTGGGATCCCGAGGGGCAGAAGCGTCAGGGAACAGGCCATGCCTGTAACAGCAGGGAGGCCTCCCGCCCCCTCCTTGGAAGCTCCCAGCACGGAGCGAGCTCTCAGATGGCCCGGGCGCTTGCGTCTGGTGGGTTTGGTGGGGAGAAGTTACAGAAGAGAGCGCCTCATTCTGCCCTTTCTTTCCAGGAGGGCAGAAGCCAAGCCTGAGCCACTTCCTATCTGCTGCTCAGGACAGGGCCCAGGCCACACACCTAGAACGTTGCTGGCACTCGGTGGCATTGGAGCCGCTGCTGACACGTGGGGCAGAGGCCCCCAGAACCCGGAGCCTAGGGCCCACCAGTCCCTCCTCACCCCGTTACCTTGGCCCCATTGTCCCTGAGGCTGTTGCCAGCACCCTGCTTCTGGAAGGAGCAAGTCCTGACACCCAGCTCCTCTGCCTCTGCCTCCTCCTCCTCTTGGATGTCTGACAGATCTGAGCTGCGGCCGTGGTCCACAAGGGCGCTCCCCAGACGGACCCCAAGCTCGGCCGTGTCCTCCCTCTGCCAGAGGCCAGACGAAGGAGGAGGACAGGGAGGTGAGGGAGGGCGCGCTGGCAGGGCCAGCCTCAGCCGGAATGAAAGGGGCCCCTTGGCAGCGGGAGGCAGGGCCACGCCCCAGACGCGGGGTGCGCAGAGCAGGGGGTGGGGAAGGAGGGTGGCAGCCAAAATGCAAAGAGTCTGAAGATAAAGTGACAAAGAGCGGCCAGACACACGGCACGGACCAGAGCCGAGCAGAGCCGAGAACAAGCAGAGAGGGCAGCGGAGCCGGCTGGCAGAGGGCAGGGAAGGGGGGCCTCGACTCCTTGAGGTGGCCCAGTGCCCCCAACCCCGTACCTCAGCCCTGTGCCTCAGCCCAGGCCCCGTGTCTCCTGCGCGGCAGGCCTCAGCACAGGGCAGCCTCTGGGCCAGCACTCTCTGGGTGGAGCCAGGCGCCGGGCGGGCCTCTCCCGCGGTCCACTCAGCCTTCTCCTCGGCCAGGGAGGAAGCTGCAGGGCCAGGAACTCGCTCTCCCAAGGTTGGCTCACCGGCCTTCCTGCCCCCTGGGGCACCCAGCACAGCTGCCCCAGCCTCCTCCTGGAATGGCAGGCACTGAGGACAGGCCCAAGCGCCAGACCCTCCTCCCAGTCTCTACCTGCTCCCCTTCTCCCCGGCAGGGTACCTGAGAGCCAGGCACGGGGGGGTCCTCTGAGGAGCCTCTTGGTGTCTCTCCGGGACAGCTTGCTGGGGAGCCCCCGGGGGGCTCTCGAGTTCCACGGGGGCTGGGGCACCGGAGGGGAGAGCTGGGGTCTCCAGGCCCCGGGGAGGCTGGAGCAAGGGGCGGTCTGGCCTCCGAGCCCAGTCGTGGGGAGGAGCAGGAGACCCTGGCTGGCGAGGAGGCCTCAGCCAGGGCGGGGGCAACGGGAGCCGGGATGGAGTCGGCCGACTCGCCGTGGGGCGACATGGTGCGCACGGCCACTGCGCGGCACGCCTGCAGCAGCTGCAATTGCGACAACTCCACCAGCACACTGCCTGCCGTGGGGGAGGCCACCTCCATGATCTGCAGGGTGGAAGGAGCACAGGAAAGGGAGGCTGAGGTGGCCAGGTGTGAGATCTCCGCGACCACCACCGTGACTAGCATCACGCCAGGCACGGCGCCCTTGGCGTGCCACGTCTCATCTAAGCCTCCTGGCCACGTGGTTTCCCTGGTGGAATCCCAGTCACCTGCTACCAGAGCCCACGCTCTTAACCAATCTGCTACTTAGTGCCCAAATGCCAGGGCCAGGCAGCCTCTGTGCCAGGTTGGGGAGACTAGGCCTCTGAGCATGGCGAGGAGAGACCCACATCTCGATCCCAGGGTACAGGTGGGCAGTCCCCAGGCCATACCTTCTGCCCATCAGCATAAATGGCATAGCCTGTGACCCGGACGCCGTTGGAGGTGCCAGCAGCATCAATTGTTACCGGGAGCCAGCTGATGATCAAGATTCCAGGGGTGGGCCCTGGCTCAATCTGCACATCCAGGGGGGCATCAGGTGGGCCTAGGGGGAGGGGGGCACAAGACCCAATAATGCAGCACACTCACTGCCAGACATAACAGCCCACTTTGCCATTTCTCTAAAAACTCAAGTAGCAACAGTCTCCCCTTCGGCCCCCATCCGTGGCCTGACCTCCCAGGTGTTAAAGACACCAGGTGCCCAAGCCCACCTACCTGCTGGGAGTGTGGTGAACTGCAGGGTGGCAGCCCGTTGCTCTGGCCTCTCCAAGCCTGGTTCCCAGGACCCTCGAGGTGGGAGCTGAGCCTCCACTCTGGCCTGATAGAGTGTACCAGGCCGCAGGTGGCAGAAGGTGGCCCAGTAGGTGCTAGGGCAGGCAGAGGGGCACTCTTCCCCATTGAGGTAGATGGCATGGGCCAAGTTGCTATTGCCGGGCGCCCAGGTGATCTCAGCGGACGTGGCTGTCAGTCGATGGACCCGCAGCTGACTAGGTGCCACCCCAGCCCCGGCCCCTAGCACCAAGCAACAGCGCAGAGGGTCAGAGCCGCCCCAGCTGGTCAGGGCCTGAACAGAGACACGGAGGGGCCCAGTCTGCAGGTCCAGATTCTCAAGCACAGCCGTGGGGGGCGCCCCGGGCCCCAGGGCCTGCCGCAGCTCCCCATTCACACAGACGTGGTAGCCACGCAGCTCCACGCATTCAGGAGGCGGCTCCCAGGCCAGCACCACGCCGTGGGCCAGCTGCTTGAGGACAGCCAGACAGCGGGGGTGAGGCGCGGCAGGGGGCTCACCCAGGCCCTCGGGCGAGGGGCTCAGCCTGAGCTCGTCCCCTGCAGCCTCTTCCTCTGCTCTGGGCTGGCTGCGTCCCCCGCTGCTCTGGCCTCCGCTACTGCTGCCGCCCGCGCCGCCACTCAGGAAACTGAGTTCAGGGCCTGAACTGTGGGACAGATCAGCCAGCTCTGGAGGCAGGGAGGTCAGGAGGTCGTCGTCGGACACACGCTCTACAAAATTGGAAGGGACCAGGCCCCTTCGGCCATCCATGAGCTCCCCTGGTGGCGGAAGGGCAGGGGAGGGGAAGACAGAGAGGAGGTAGAGAAAAAGCAATAAAGTCCAATAAATGCATTTTAGCAATGGTTAGTGGGTGATCTTAAGCATCTGATGCAGATCAACGTTTACCTATCACCGCTTTTTAAAAGACAGGAGCAGTCAAGAGCTGGATTAGGGAGTTACTGTTAATTCTCATTGGTGTGATAACAGTATTGTAGTTATACAGGACAGTCATCTTACATTTTAATGTGCATATGAATCACCTGGAGATTTGTTAAAAATACAGATTCTAACTCAGCTGGGTCTGGGTGGGGCTGAGATTTTGCATTTCTAACGAGCTCCCAGGTGATGCTGCAAGGATGCAGAAGGATGTCCTTAGAAGGAGATGCATGTTGAAGTGTGTCTGGGTAAAACGCCATCTGTCTACAGCTTGCTTTTCAATCATCTTTTTAACCTACATACAAAGAAGGCAATTATGGCAAAATGTTAACAACTGTTGAATCTAGGTGGTGGGTACATAGGTATTCATTGTACTGTTTAATTTTTCCATATGTTTGAAAACTGTCATTTTACACAGGCCTGAGGAGTGAGGGAGGGGGTGCCCCTCAACTTCCCTGTGTGGAAAACAGACATCCTCAAAGAGAGAGGGACGCCCATCTGGTCAGAGAAAGGGAAGGAATCTTTAGACACAAAAGACATACCTGCCAGAGAAAAGAATCCCCTGTGGGTTCTAGAAGGGGTTGAGACCCACAGCAGGCCTGGGTCCAGGAGTATGACTCGCAGTCAGTTCAGACAGAGATGGAAGGTAAGCTCTGTTACCCTGTGCCAGTTGCCCTGAACACTTGGCAATAGAGTATTATAAAGCGTTTGTTTTTTGTTTGTGGGACGTCAGAAAAACAAGCAATTGGACACACGGTCTGTCACGTCACAGCTAATTTGGGAAAAGGAGAAAGATTCCTGGGGAACAGATGAGCTGGCGGCTGGTGCGCCTTATTGGGAGAAAGGAGGAACAAGGGCCAGGGTTTGGGGGGGTGTAGGCGGGCCTGAGCTGCAGGAAGGCGCGTAAGTTCCCCAACACCCTCTCTCTCTACTTATGCTAGGAGGGAAAAAGAAAAAGTAAGGAAACTTGAAGAAAAAACAAAAGGGACTTTCAATAAATTAGAAAACGTGAGCACTGTAGTGGGTTGAAAGGTGGCCTCCCCAAAATATGTCCACATCCTAAACCCTGGATCCTATGAATATGACCATATTTGGGAAAAGTGTCTTTGCAAATGCAATTAAGTTAAGGAGCTTGAGATGAGATCATCCCGGACTATCTGGGTGGGTCCTAAATCCAATGACAAGGGTCCTTATAAGAGACACGTAGGGAGAGACACTGAGAGAAGAGGAGGAAATGTGACCACAGATGCAGAGACTGGAGCGATGTGGCCACAAGCAAGGAACACCTGGACCCACCAGAAACTGAAAGAGACAAGGAACAGACTCTCCCCTAGAGCCTCCAGGGGGGAGTGTGGCCCTGCCAACAACTTGATTTCACACTTCTGGCCTCCAGAACTGTGAGAGAACACATTTCTGTTGTTTTAAGCCACCCAGTTGGTGGAAATTTGTTACAGAAGCCCTAGGAAATTAATATAAGCACTAACACTATGGGGTGTGAGGTTAATGGTAGGAACCATCAGACTAAGCAGATCCACAGCCCTGAAAGGGTCGTGCTGGAGCCTGGGCCAGAGTCAGTCTTGTGCTCCTGAAGCTTGAGCCACTGAGAGCAGCCCAGGTGGGACCAGACACAGATGAAGCAGTCACTTAGCTGAAGTATGAGGAGGAACAGGGCATCCTACACCCAGCTGTCTACAGGCCTTTCAATCTAGCCCAAATTGCATAGTTCAAATTCTAGTAATCAGTTAATATTTATGTTTGAGCTGCCCCCCTCCAAAAAAAGGTGTTGGTGTTTTTATTTTTTTATTTTTTTAATTAAAAAAGGCGTTTTCCCGGGGGGTATTTAATCCTGCTCTCCATTATCCATCCCTATAGAGAATTTAGCTGTTTACCATCATTCCCAGCACCTACTCAAACAGCAGGCGTGGGGCCCAAGGAGGAGAGGCTGAGCAGGCTCTGAAAGCTTTGCGTGTTACAGGCCCAGACCTAACCGCTTTCCTCAATCCCCACACACGGCTGCAGCTCTCACCCTGCCCTGTCCAGCCCGCATCCCAGTCTCCGTACAGTGCCGTCCTCCCTACTGCGGGAAGGATGCAGCCTGGTGCCTGGCCAGGGCCACCGTGCGGAGTCTCCCAGGCCATTTCTTCCTCAGGCCTAGCCCTGCTGCCCAGTCTCAGTAACGGGGCATCTGCCGCGGTTGCCCCATCCCACGGGCACTGTAGAACTGCCCTGAAGCTCACGCCCTGCCTGGGCCCTGACAACTGCTAACCACTTGTCAACACCCTTTCCTGGGCTCTGGACCCTGATTCCTCCTCCCCACGCTGATCGGGGTCCAGCATCAGATCTACGCCACATGCCTGACCTCGAGGTCACTAGTGCTAAGCACTGCCATGCCCTGTCTGCCAGCACAAGAGTGAACTTAGCCGAAATTCCCTGTGGCATTCTGTCCGCCACCTGGACCGTCGTAGGCCCTGTCTTGCTCTGGGCAGGTCTGGAGTCAGACCAGCTGCTCCCACGGCCCTTCCTTTCCCTTCCTTCCCTTTCCCCGCAGGCTGCCGGGTCTCTGGATGCCTTTCAGCTGAGCCTGAGAAGTTACAGTGGGCTGAGAGGATACAGATGGGTGGAGGTCTTCGGGAAGAGGAGCTTAAAAGCAGGCGAGTGGACAGAAGGACCCCACTACCTTCCTACCTTCAAAGAAGCCATCCTCGTCCACGTTGCCATAGATGTAGATGTACTCGCCAGCGGTAAGCGGAAGCTCTGCCTCTGGGTTCTCATTGGGGCCCTCGAAGGGGTTGTAGCTGTTGGGGGAGGTGCAGAGGAGGAGGCGGAGGACAGCGACTGACGTTCTGTCTCCGTGTCCTGTGTCCTCTCCCCCAGTGCACTCGGCCTCTACGGAGACTTGGGTGTCCCCTTTTAACCATGTGGAGCACCCACTGCGCCCAACGAGGCTAAGAGGACATGTCCCGCTGGGGTCCCTGCCCCACCCCCGCTGTCTCCAGAGGCCTCGCTCTTCACCGGCCCCCCCTCCCTTACAGCCCAAGTGCTGGGGAAATGGGGAGCAGGGGTGAGGGCCCACCTGTAGCGAGCGAGGAAGACCTGGATCCTGGCTCCTCCCCGGCTGCCCTCCGGGGCTGCTGGCGGCAGGGAGACGCTGTCTGCCTCCAGCTCCTCCACCTCGCTGGCTGTGTCCACCTGCGGACACACAGAAAGGGCCAGTCCCCTCCAGGACCCAGGGGCCAAAGGCAAAGCAGGCAGAGGAGGACCCACCGTTTTGAGAAGAGAAACTGAGCAGATGCTGGACAAGGCCAGCAGCGATGGGCCCCGATGTTTTCTAACTCAGGACCTGAGCCGGCAGGGCCTGGCGGAGCCCAGATGCCCTGGCTCAAGGGACGGGGG